AGTATAAAAATCAAAGGATTAGGGATTAGCTTAAGTTTAAAGGATTTCAGATACAGAATATAAATAATAAGCATATTTTGAGTATTCCTAGTAAAATTAAAGTTATGAATTTATCCAGAAAAAAATCTTACATTATTCAAATTAGAGGTTGAAATTTCGCTTTTTTAAATTAGAAGACTCATAGTTGAAGAAATTAATTCAACGGCCAAACCTCAAAAGGAGAGTAAGAGCTCACTGTGATTCCTCGATCTAAACAGACACATTAGTTAAATAGCATTTGTAACTATGTGTGTTGCAGGAAATTAAATGCCATGAAATCATACAAAGAAGGAGCATTTTTTATCATCACTAGATTAAACGAAATGCTAGTGAAGGGCTAAAAACCAAGGGTTAGGATGCTATTAAGGTGTGCATGAGTAAATGAAAAATGCTTAAATGTAAACTAACTTCGTAGACACGAAGAGAAACTTGGTTTCTATGAATCTCCTGAGATAACATTGTTAAGGAGAACTTCATTTCGGATAAAAGTGCATGAAGAGGAGATTGGTTGGTCGATCTCACCAGATGAGGACGGATGAATCTCGTTGTACTGCAGCTCGAAACGAGGGAGGATGTCCCGTGGACTGCGTCAACATGAATATCGTATTAAATCCAAACGGCTGCAGTACAACGAGATTCGTTCGTCTTCATCTGGTGAGATCGACTAACGAATCTCTGATTCATGCACTTTCCTCCGAACTGAAGGTACCCCTGATAAAATAACTTAATTTCTTCAAAGGGATGCTAGAGTACCTAAGACCCATGCACTATCGAAGGAATATATAGAAAGGAAACATTTGTGAAAATTTTCTTATGCTAAAGGCCACGTAAAGCGGACGTTTCTTAATCGTTGTTATGCTTTATACTGAGTAAAGTATCTGAATTGTAGACATGTTCAGTGTAAACTTGACATAAATGTATGAAACTAACAAACCTTCATTATATGTATTATTTGGACTTATTAGTGAGTAGTAGAAATTGTGGTAATAACAGAAATTGCTGTGGTAGTAGTAGTATAACAACACAAACGTTCAGGGAGCAATTCAGTTTCTGGCACTCATTCTCGAAAAGAATCCAGAAAGTAGCAAAGAAGTAAGTTAAAGTATGACCCTAATATTGTGACTAATCGATCTATCCATTAGTAGTAATCATGTCACCTCCGATAGCAACTTTTATCAGCAGACGAATGGACTCTAAACGCCCTCTTCTTTGCCTCCCATGTTGACACATATTTAATTGAAAATGCCCGAATAACATTTAAAGGGGAAGCTTTTCAACTTCAAAACTATTGGTTTCATACATGGATAAGAATTTAATAATTGGCAACATGACAGGGATAGTTTAGATAATTAAAAAATGTAATTAACCAAGGGAAAGTTATAGTAATTCTACAGTGGAGTTATAAGGGAACAATTCTTTAAAAGTTTGTAGGGTTTGGTAATTAAAAGCGGTGTTGAGCTTGATGGAAACCTTTATAGGAAGCAAGTCTGCGCTGATTTTCTCTCCAATCATGGTCAAAGATGAAGGTTGGGAGTTTTAAATCGTATAGTAATAAGAGAATGAGGTTGGCGCATAGGAAGCGTTGGGATAGGCAGCTAATAATGGTAAAAAAGTTAGTACTAGTTAATAACCACCCATTTGATTTGATTAAAAATAACGTTATGTAATTAGGCTATACAATTTAAAAGGTTTATTATTTGGACAAATTACATTAGTTAATTAGAAAAAACTGGGATTAAACCATTTAGTTTTTATAAACTCCATAAAGAAGATATTGTAAAATTGCAGGAGGTTCTAAGTTGTAATATTTGGCGTCTTGTCTCTGATTCTAGATTTGCTTTTATTCTCACTTTTCAGAGAGCTAGAAAACTCACTCATAAAAGAGGAAATTAAAATAGCTCCTGACTAGATGAAAAGTTTTCTTTGATTTTTACCAGCCTTTAGAGAAAAATATAACTCCTTATCGAAATCAAGCTGATATGCAATAATGATTATGTGGCTAACTTCCTTCTAGAGAGACCAGTGGCCCCATTCAAAAAAGAATAGAGGAACGAAAAATTTCGTGCAGCAGCTGCAGAATAAGGGCCAAAATTGGCGATATAGAATGATCGGTTTGCGGATCATGGTCATATTTGGAGAAGCGTTTGAAATAAACAGGTTAGGGTAGGAATTAGACAAGAATTAATAGGCTCTATTGATAGACGAAATGGTAGAGCCACATTAAAGTCGAAGTTGACTCAATCGATTTCGCAGAATTTTGTTCTTATTAAAATATAACTGTTGGTGGCCAGGAAAGTTAATTATATCCGCTCAAATGAATTTTTCCTAATTGAAAAACCGTAGGATTAAGTCTTCTTAGGAAAAAGTACAGGATATTAAACAATGATGATTTAAGAAGAGATGTTTATGATCTATTCTGCTCACGCGAAGGTATCACTTTGCGAAGGAGATTGCCTCAGGCATAGCAACAACCAAAATGTTTTGTAAAGCCAGCATTAGTTTTCTGGTGGGATAGGAATCTCTTCATCACACGCTTGAGCAAAATTGAGATTAACAAACCAACAGATTCCTCAAAATTCACCTTTCTCATCGCATGCACACACATTTGTGCAATAATATTGATAAATATCATAGTGAAATAACCAAGTAGTATTGTCTGAGTATATATAGCAAGAAAAGACATCCCTTTAAGATTTATTCTTACATTGTGAGCCTGAGGTGGTTATCCCAGGAATGTCTATCAAATGGTGAATGAAAGGGAAGCTATATCGAGGAATATGTCAACTTGAACTCCCCAATAAAGCCAACCGACAGCATACTAAGGAGAATTCGCGGACGTCTTTTGGTGAAATCGATATATAAAGCGCTTATTCACACATCTTACTTCGATATGAAATTCAATTCATCAGTGAAATGTCAATGGGCTGAAAATCACTTGATGAGGTCTCGTATTAACT